GTACAGTAGCACTATGGAATCAGTTCAAGAGAAAAAAAAAACTTTAAAAAAAAGGATTGCGAAACCGATACCGAATAACGCACGAGTTAAATAAACAGGGTGATGTGGTACTCCTAAACAAGGAAATAAAAGCTGTTATCACCCCTACAAGCTCATCAAAATCTTCTCTTCGCTTTATTTGCTTACTTCATTGAATTCACAAACATTAACAGCTGATCGAAGTTGTAAAAGTGGGCGGGTCCCGTTTGCGGAGGTGCAGGCCCAGTAGTACTAGAAATCGAACGATATTGTTGTGTTTGGAAGCGTCGTAGGGTGTGTTGGCGACACGCACCATTCTTTAGACCTAGGGTTCAATTCATTAAATTCTTGTTCTTGCTTTTCGCTTGTTTGAAAGAATTGCTCCAGCTGCCTTATGGATAGATCAGCAGTTTGCATTAACAAAGGGGAATGAGGAAAAAGCTCTAAGATAATGTTTTTCTTGGCGATATGCTTATAGGATAAAGATCCATAAACAATTTGATTATAGCCAAAACGTGCGAAAGGATTTGTATTCAAAGGTTTATATTCTTGTAAAACTCATTCTTTAAAAGTTTTCATTTGGTACATTTCGCCATCGCATTTCCTTAAAGTTCCGCACAGAGTACATCTAAGCTAATGTAAATTTCCAGTCTCACAGCTTCCTTGGATACAGGCAGAATTTCCTGTACAACAATCTCCAACTAAGACAAAGAATCAGGATCTAAATTGTGTTTTATGGGCATCCATAGGGGTTGGGAATAGATCGTACCGGCAAAAAGCAGCGAAACATCTCACAACTTTGATTTACTGTTTCGCGATCTTTAAAAAGTACAATTTACAATGCTGCGAGGCTCGACAATTAGTCCACATCGGATCTTTCATTTAGAAAGAGTCTAACAGCTACAAAAACTCTCAATAGTTTTCCACTAGTTAGTTTAAAACTTATACTCGATTTAAAATGTCAAATGTGCAAATCAACAGATGTCAATGTGATTATGGCGAGACATGGAGTGGTTGCACTCCAGGTCTTAAAAGGAAGCGCAAAATTCCAGTGTATCCGCGAGGAGTTCTACTCTTTTGCTATTAAATTTTAGCATTATCAGGTTTTCTGACTTGTATTAGCCTATAGATCTGCTTATTTCAATTAATACTGGTAACTTCTTGTCTTTCTTCTTATCACTCTATGAGATTTAAAAAACCTTTTCTATAGCTACCTTGTGTGCATGAAATAAATATCTGACTCTTCTCTATGGATATTCATTTCCAGGTGGTAACCATGGCACTCACAAAGGATGTGAAGATGCCGTCCGATGAGGAACTCACCGTTCCGCAAGAGATCACTCTTTCTACACCATGGTTTAAAGCTGTCGCGCAGTATATGGGCAAACATTGCGAAAATGAAATCAATGTAAGTTCTCTACTGCTAATCTTTTTGATGTTTTCATTCTCGGCAGTTCCCTTTCCAATAATCTTTTAATATATCTATTCATTTATTATTAGGCGAAGAAGAAGAAGAGTGAAATTTGATATGATCAGTTATAAGAAGAAAAGACATTTTGAAATGAAATTTGATTGTTTCTGTTCTACTTTCAG